CATCTGCACATAAGTCACACATTTCAATAAAGCATTTTCAAGACTGTTGACCACTTGAATTTCTTTAATGTTGGTAACCTAACCATTACTCAGAGATTTTATATCTCTAATTCAGTATTCTTTTTCTTTTTATGCTAAGTATGGGAGATCCTGGTTTTGTGTGAATGCATTATTTTGGATGTGAGAAATAAATGCCAATTATGTACTTTTCCCTTTTCTGCACAAATTCTGGGAAAATGTAAGAGCCTTCATTTTTTAACATGGTTTTAGGGAGCAGTTTAATTTAGATGATCACTTTAACACTTCAGAAGACCTAAAGATTCATAAGATTCCATCTCATGTAGAATACTGTATATTAATTATTTTTTACCAGATATTTTACAAATACCTCATCTCATCCTGTATGTAATCAATAATGTATTATTTTAGGGTAGAAAGACACAGAATATCAATATAAAAATATATTCAAGCCCTTGAAATTCTTGTGTCCTTTTTCTTTAGTTCTGAATCAAAAGCTTATTACTGGATGTACTACTGAATAAAAATCAATTGCAAAGACTTTGATGGACAGGAGACAAAATCAAAATATACCATTGTTTATTTTGGCTGCACCTTCAAATCTCTATGGACCAGATCCTGAATTTTGAGAAGTTTTTGTTCTATTGAGATTTGAATGTGTAGGAGATAAGTTTATAAATGTTCTGCAGTGCTTGTCTTTACTTCCTGTTTAGAAATCATTTAAAGCTTTCTGCTCAAGGTGCTCTGGAAGGAGTTTAATTTCAACTCTGAACAAATAGAAATAGCTGTACTTCCTTGTATGACTGCAAATAAGATAGTTTCTATGGTTGGCTACCGTGAAATCTATGTATTTATATTGCATTGTTTTGTTTAAAAAAAAAAAATCCACAGAAGTAGAACCTAGTTTTGCTACTCACAAAATAGTGGATTCTTATTTATAATCAGGCTCAGGTAAAGTAAGAGAAACCTTCTCTCGCTGTGGCCCCCAGAGAAATGAAGTTTAGGATAGCAGATTACGCTATTAGAAATAACAGACGTAACCAAAAAATCCATCCCATTATCCCTGCCCATTTTCCCTCTCAGTAGAAATTTCAATAATACACTAATAGAGTTTCAAAGGTCACCAGCCTTTTGTATTTTTTCTGGTCTGTGGGCCACAATTAAAGAATGGGTAACAGGTTCAGAGTCCTCTTGATAAGTCCAAGCCTTAGTTTCCAGAAAAAAGCTAGGCCCCTCAACAGCAAATACTATATATTACTCCATGGATCTTGGGGTAAGCACACATGTCAGGAGCACACATGTAAGCACAATAGTTCATAGCTCTAGTTAAGGACAAATAAGAAAGCGGGATAAGGGGGCAGGAGAACAGACAGAGATTAGGGTAGCAGGCAGCTGGAGATCTTTTGGGATCTTTTGAAAGGGAATCCTGTAACTGTGATCAGTACCAGTATCAACACTACTGTAAGGGGTCTAACATGGCTTAGTGATACAGGCATGTTTAAAAACCAGGGTGATGGAGGAATTGGTGTCAAAAGCTCTTTAACATTAGATTTGTAGAGAAGCCCTGAAGCAATGTTTACTATAAATGACATGCCTGTTATTTGCATGTGCAATTAAAGGGCACATGCAATATTGGTTTCATGTGCAGTAGAAATTAAAACACAGCTGCTCATGGTGGTTCACACCCGTAATTCCAGCATTTTGGGAGGCTGAAGCAGGAAGATCACGAGGTTGTGAGTTCAAGACCAGCCTGGCCAACATAGTGAAAACCTACTAAAAAATACAAAAAATTAGCTGGGTGTGCTGGCGCATGCCTGTAATTCCAGCTACTCCAGAGGCTGAGGCAAGAGAATCATTTGAACCCGGGAGGCAGAGGTTGCAATGAGCCAAGATCATGCCATTGCACTCCAGCCAGGGCGACAGTGCAAGACTCCATCTTAAAAAACACTAGGTATGAAATTTTCCCAGAATTATATGCAAAAGTTGGTGTTCATGCTGGCAAAAGGTAATGGTTATCTGTGCTCTTTCTAAAGCTCAACTAGGTACTAAAACAGTTCTTGAGATTGGAGGTGGGATGGGGGTGGGCAGGGGGAAGGGAAGAGGCTGGGGAGGAGGCTCTCTCGTTTTAGCCTCAGCAGTAACTGAAGCCCTGTGTCCAGCCTGGAGTAGGTAGAGGTTAGGGTTGGGGTGCAGGATGGAGCAGCAGGCTGCAGACTTTCAGGTTGCAACAGTGTCATGAAATTCTGTGGCATTAAACATGGCTATATCTGAGTAAGTCACAGTATTCCAAAGCCAAATTCAAGTGACTGTTTTTCAGAATAGTGTAAAAATCTAATTCCTTGTGCTCATCGGTTTCAACCATGCTTATGCAATGTTTTTTTTTTTTTTTTGAGACGGAGTTTCGCTCTTGTTGCCCAGGCTGGAGTGCAATGGCGCGATCTCGGCTCACCGCAACCTCCGCCTCCCAGGTTCAGGCAATTCTCCTGCCTCAGCCTCCTGAGTAGCTGGGATTACAGGCACGCACCACCATGCCCAGCTAATTTTTTGTATTTTTAGTAGAGACGGGGTTTCACCATGTTGACCAGGATGGTCTCGATCTCTTGACCTCGTGATCCACCCGCCTCCGCCTCCCACAGTGCTGGGATTACAGGCTTGAGCCACCGCGCCCGGCCACGCAATGTTTGTTTCTAATTGATACTCTTGCCTCTTGGTTTCTGTAGTTTTTCAACCCATCTCTGTCAAACGGTGTTCTATATATGCATACATTCATTATTTAAGGAACCCTGCAGCAGAGCTCAAATAAGATGTGACTTGTTTGTTACCACTTCCTTGACTTAGTTAGCAAATTCAAGTTTTGAAAGATGTTTCATCCCAGAGAAGTTGATCCTGAACCTCAAATGCATATCACATTTTAGTTGCTATCAGGTGGGTAATGCCTAACACGCGTTCCTCAAATCACAAAGGAGAATGTTCTTAAGTCCTCAAGTGAACTTCAGTAAGTTAACTTTACAGCAACCAAAGAGATCAATTAAAAAGAATCCTTAAGTCTGACTGTCCCAGGTAACTTTCCTTGCTGTACAGCTAGATAGTGCACAGGTATAGAAGAGTGTTGCACATGCTTGATTTGAAAGCCCATGTGGTCCACAAGTGCACAGCCCGGGGCTGCTTTCCACAGGCCTAGACGATGGTGTTTCTCTTCAAGGAGGCCTTTGCTAACCACAAAGGCCACAGGGACCCCAGCATCTAACTGTGTCCTTGGCAGACGGCGCATGTAGCCTGTAGAACGTTGGCCTCTCTGTCTGCATAAGCCATCAGTTCCCTGCTGTCTCTCTCATTCATATATTTTGAGTTCCCAGTAGGTATGAAGCTTTATCTAAGCATTATTTAGATGCAATTATTTAATTGGGATTTTTACAGACCTCCCCTGTAAGAATTTTCTAAAAGAGTATTTCTTCCTTACACAATTGAAATGTTTTCAAAGGTCACTGAGCCTATTGCCTTTGCTCAATCATGTGACCAATCTGAGCTGGTGAGTGAGCTGCCTGCCCCCTTAAA